AGTGTGGAGAGGAAAAGAAATGTTCCTAGCCCTGTTTATAGCTACATTTTATTTACCACTGGACATGGTATCTACAGTGCCTCTGTGTAGGGGTTTCTATTATACTATCATGCAATGCCCTGTTATGGGCTGTACCTGAACTGATAGAAAAATCCAAAAACACCAGGAAATATTAAAAGCTATTAAGGGTAAAACTAGTATTTTTGATAAGTGACACATTGTTAAAGATACTTATTCTTATTTCCAGAATGATAAATAAATGATAGAGGACACCACTGCAAAAATAATTTAAAACCCATAGTTGTTATCTTTCACTCTAGTGTGATATAGTCCTTTCTTACCCCATATATTTATATACGTTTACAAAGGCATACTAAACTAACCTGGCTCCTTTCCATTAAATGATTTTTTTAAGAACTTGAAGATAAATTAATTTTGTATTGTAGTTCCATTTAATGTGTCTTAATATCAGATTCCTAAAACTGTTACATAGAACTAATAAAATATCCTCACAAGGCAAAAAATGTTACAAAAAAAGTATCACTGAGGAGTAGAAACTAAAAAAGATAAAATCTAGACAAAGTCTAAATCATTTTGGTGGTCTATTATATTTTCTCATTTATTCAATCAGCCAAAATGTATTTACCCAGAAAAATTCCATTATTACATATTTTAAACCCAAACCAAGTTGAAAGGAATTGTTTCCCTTTATAACTATCATACAGTATGATGTTTCTTGTTTCACATATTTGCAATTATTTATCTTCAAGTAACAAAAATAATGCAATTCCATGAAATGAATAAGGACAGATAAAAAAAACATGGAATATCAGTACTTTTAAATTTTACCCAAACACAACGCTTTCTTTCCAAACACAAAGTTTTATATGTGATAATACGAAATCAATGCCTATTTCCAAATATGAGTTGGAAAATTACTTTTTAAAATTATACAATATAGGGTAGGCGCCAGTGGCTCACACCTGTAATCTTAGCTATGCAGGAGGCTGAGATCTGAGGACTGCGGTTCAAAGCCAGCCCGGGCAGGAAAGTTCATGAGACTCATCTCTAATTACTCATCAGAAAACCGGAAGTGGCACTGTGGCTCAAAGTGGTAGAGTACTTGCCTTGAGCTGAAGAGCTCAGGGACAGTGCCCAGCCACAGAGTTCAAGCCTCATGACCAACAAAAAAATTAATAAATCAAAAATAAAAGCTACATTGAAGAATTAAATAAATCTAACATTGAATTTCACTAGAAATGAATTTTACTTTCTAATTTGAATCTGAAGCTAACGAGGACTCTTCACATGTTTTATTTACTGATCAATTTCTACACATCTGTACTGAACCAGCAAAACAACAAGCTGGCACTAGTAAACCACACATAAAGATTCAGGTTATTAAAATACAAATACAAATTAGACACCCCTTATGTTTATACATGTGTAAGTACAATTAATATTGCAGGCTTAGTTGAAAACAAAATTACTTTAGTTAACCAACCATTGCAGTGCAATCAAATGAGATTTCAAATACAATTGGAAAAGATCTGTTTGGTAGAAATAATAGCAAGTATTTCATGCGGAACAATTAGTTTCCTGAGCTCTTTTCCACCCCACCCCCCGTTTCCCCACTTGCCCATAATGAAATAACTTGTCCATCATACGTGACATGAAATGTCACTGTTTCCACCCATAAGTTGCATGGAGACTTGAAAGGCAGATGGTAGGCACTGCTTATTTACAAATATTAGTTTAAACTTGTAAATGCATGACCGCATAAATCTTAATCCACTTAGAGAGTACTCCCTTTGTTATTTCTGTTGTATTTTCCACTGGGAATTAAATGGACTGAGGGAGAGTATGAATTACATGCTTATCAGGGCTTTTCCTTTTGTTTTTGTTGTTTATGAGATTTCTCTACATTACACAGTGGGAAATGTTAATGAACATTTTGCCTAAGTAATATTAATGAAACTTGCCCACTTATACTTGAAGAAAGAAGCAGAATATTATACTTTTTGAAATGTTAATGCTCCTTTTAGGAAACTGTTTCTGCCCTCTATATCATCTTAGTGTTGTTATAAAAGGATGGTATAAAAGAACCATTGCACTTGTACATATCTTAAATATCTTAAAAGTTAAAAGGACTAGAAAGTTTAAATGGAGGACCTAACAGAATATGCTAGTGTTAAGCTTCAAATTAAACATTTTCAAATGTTTGTTTTGAAATGCTGATGCCATTTGCAAATGTATGTTCTCACAAAATAAGGGGAGAACTAATGTGGATTATTTATGTTTTCCAAACATTAACTTGAATAATATTCTTGCCTTGAGGGATTTATTTTAGCCTAGCTATAAATATGGACTAGAGCAATAAGGACTTTATCAGGAAAATCTTAAGTGGATAATTTTGTCTTACTTTTGTCCTTTTAACTTATTCAAGTCTTAAGTTGGGACAATTTTTACTCAGGTCTGCTCTCCAAGCATCAATGTCACCAGCTCAATGTTCTATTACTTCATAGTATTTCAAAGTAGGGGTGGAGGTTATTGTAAAGATTATATGTATGGCTGGCATGTCAAACCCCAGTTCTCAGTGTACAAACTGCAAGGATATGTACTCTGCAGCAAATATATGAATTCCACATGAACCACATTCATATTCCTTCAAGAAACTAGGCCAGAGAATTGAACTGACAAGGCTTTAAAGAATGATGAAGCATTTCCCTGGAATGGTCGATTTGTTCAAAGTATTCTCCCTAAACAGTCTGATAAACCCAGGGGCACGGAAAAACAAAACTTGTTTAATGATTCTCTCACAGGGTGATGACTTTGCTAAGAACACCTAACATTTACTGAGTAAAATATTTTCTTGTCTGTTTAACCATGTCAGATTGCTGTTGGCACTATGTCATCCTGGGCCTCGCTTAACAGTGATGCTACTTACTTGCACTGTTCTGAAGTAAGGGTTACATTTCAAGATAAATTGTTATCAGATTTTAATATCTCACAAATAAGAATACACCCTAAAGTATCATAATCTCACTAGCTTCTTTTGGAAATAAGTGTGCAATAAAATGTTGAGGGCTTTAAAATTGATAAGGGTTTAGCATTAATAAAATATGTAATAACTACCATGCACTAACTGGTTGTCACCTAGCACTTTTGTAAAGACAGAAAAGCTCTTTCTAAAGGTATGATTTATGTGCTACTGAGTCCTGTATTAAAAAAAATTACAGTATTATAGTTTCCTAAGCATAGGAAACTATACTTAGAAAGCAATAACTATATAAAATATCAATTATATGAAAATCTAGAACTAATCTATTTCCAAGTTATTCTTTTCTGATGACTATTTGAAATATGAAATGATATTTGTAAAAACAAAGATTTAAAAAAACAAAAAGTGTACACCATATATATATATATATATATATATATATATATATATAAAATGTTACATAATGTTACATAAGATGTTACCTTTATGATTCTGTGAATTCTAGTAATGAATATAGGAAGATCCAAACTAAACAAGTAAAAGTTGCATTGTACCAATACTAGTAGCCAGCTGAGTGGAGCTAGCTTTCTATCTATTATATTTTATATTTCTTTTATCATGACATTTTCATATGAAAGGGAAGGAAAAACATTTCCCAATCAATGAGTAAATCAAAGGATATTTATTTGGATATATTATTTTTGCTGCTTTTTGTCTGTTTGAGAAATGAAGTTTCTTCAAGTTTATTTTCCTTTTATCTATGCAATAGCAACCAATTCCCTTTCATTGAATGAATCAACAATTTGTCCTCAATATGCAAGGACTTTGTAATTTTTTTAACTTGGTCACTAATTTTTATACAACATGGATGGCAATTTGGCACTAACCTATCAATGACAAGCAATTTGGACAAAGCCAGAACTTTTCTGACACCAATACTCATGTAATGTGACCAATTTACTGAGAAAATCAAACAAAATGATAGTGGTCAACTAGAGTAGTTAGTAAACTAATAGACATGCATCAAGCACAGAAAGTTAGTTAACTAGTGTAAAGGAATGTTAATCAAAGGTTTTATATTTTACTTTGGTATGAAATATAATCTATCAATCACAAAGTAAAAGTGTTAATTCCTAAACCTCAGTTTGGTGTTCTATTGAACCCCATGATTTGGAATTGAAATTTAACACTGGGTTGTATAAGATACTAAAAAGTAGAATCAAGCTGTCACCCACTTTCTGATTGTTTTAATAATGAACTTTGGGCATGGTTGCATCTCCAAAATGTGTTGTCTGGAATGTTTTAGTGATTAGAAACTCATTTCCATCCTAATAATCCAATTATGTAACAAAACTATTTCAGCAATTAAGGATATACTTTTTCACTGTGCTTTTGGCTGCAAGGAGGCGGACAGAAAATTTTTTAAAAAAATTGTCCCAGATGAATTTATGTTGTGAATATATTTAAGCCAGTACCTCTTGGAACACATAGATTATCAAAGTAAACTTGTGTAACGCTGTCATTGCTAAGTCTGCTGGCCAGAGCAGAATATATACAGTCAAATGAAGCAAATTAAACCTTGAGAGGTTGGGTACATTCAATCCCACTTTCAATAAACTGCCCACCATCAAGGTGATTTTTGGTTTTATCTTGCTTTTCCAAACACAAGAAACTTAAATGTAACCTAGTATGTTCATATTATCAAACTATTCCCATTGCAATCTGATGTTCTTTAAATGTATTTTATAAATATGTTTGCACATGAGATTATCTTAAGGAGGACTTTTTTCTTGTGTATATAAAACATTTCAACTAATTTAATTGGCCCTGGTTTTATGAAGCATAAACAAAAACAAAAAACAGAACATACAAAACACGGGCTGTATTTTGTTTTCCATAGCACCAGCAAATTCTATCATTCAAAAGGTATGTTATTGTGATTATAACTTTCCAAACTTAGCTACCAATCTGCTTAAATCAAGTAGTAAAAGGTTCTTACTGCAAAATCTTCCCTCCATTGGTGAGCTGCTTGAACCTTCTCAGCCTCCAAAGCCAGGCGCTGAAAAATCAACAATAAATCTCAGTTAGAACAGAATGATCCCAGGAATGTGAAATTTTCCATAAAACTTTTGGATTTTCTTATCAATTATTAGAAGATGAAAAACAAAGAGATTTCATTTTTATGATTCATAAATTAGAAATCATTTAGTAATACTAATAAAATAGTAAACATGTTTTTACTGGTTTTTTTCCAGTTTTTGGTGCTAGTAATTTTTGTGTAGCCTTTTCTGTACAAAGCTGATACTTGAGTCATATCTTCAATTCTAGATTTGTGTTCCTTGACTAGAATTAAGAGTCCCTTGGATTTGTCTATCCAGAATAGCTTCAAACCTTCATCATCTCAGCGTCCTGAGTAGCTACAATTACAGGCACGAACCACCTGAGCCCAGCTTCAAGCATTTACTAACTAGTAGCACATAACAGACTACCCTTAAATATCATTGAACTACTACCACTGCTGTCATCTTTAGTAGTGTTCTCTCTGAATCCTTTTACTGATGACAGTAATATTTTTGCTTTTTAGGGGAAAAAAAGTTAAGCAAGAAAATGTATTAGTTTTGTTAGAATTATCTTTTAGTAAATACCACTCACTCTAGTTTATATTTCTTAAATAGAAAATAACTGTCATTTGGGATATTAATAAGCTCATTCTGAGAACAGTAGCCACCTTTGAAATTGTGCAAAAAATCCACAGAACACGATGACTTCCTCTTGGCTGAGGACATTGTGAGTGGCTTTTGCAGGGACTATGTGTGAGGAAAATGACTGCTTCAACGTACCTTTAGCATTCTCAAGTAGTTACAAAATTGAAAAGGGAGAATGAGGAAGTAAATGAGAACACATATTTTAACCAAATTCTGAATTTATTTTTCACAGGATAGTATAAGAAGAATTAAACTCTAATGTGGTGCAAATAACGAGCTTCACATAAATTTAAATGAGATACCAGATATGCTTCTTCTGTTCAAGTTGTTTAAAAATATTAGCACTCTGATGATTTTATATCCTGGAGAAGCATAGTAAATCCTTTCCTGAGAACACCAGAAAGTGGATACTTCCGTGGCAAACAAAACCCAAAGTGGACATTACATTGTGCAGCTTTCAAATAGCCCCTGGTACCTCTACCAAGTGCTTTACGATTCTAGGAAGAGTGCATACAACTATTGCATGTGCTATTTAAATATAATCCATGCTGAACAAGCAGAGGAAAATCATCACCACAGTTAAGTTTTTTCATGGAAATAGAACAATGGCCACAAACAATAATCTATTTCTCCAGAGGGAAGAGAGGCTAAATCAGCTTTTAATCAACCATGTATGCATATGCATGTGTGTGGGATATAAACACATGATATGTATGAATGTTATAAAGTAAAAGATATGTATTGAACAACCCTAAGAAATTTTACCAACTTAAAAGACTAGGAGCTATGTATACAAGAAAAATATGGATTATGAAAAAGTTGGTTGAAAACAAAACTGTAGCTAAATTTTATACCTCTATGTTGGCTATCTAAAATAAAATAGTCATAAAATGCACTGATTATCATCTGTGTTCAAAAAGAGGTAAGCAATTTGTATTACTTAGAATTTTTACAGAAAGCCATAGTACTAAATTTTAGATACTCAGCCTATCCCAGGACTACTGCAGGCATTCAGGTGGTTCTTTCCTGTGGCAAAAGACCAGCTGGTTATTACTTAAAGAAAATTAGCATGCCTGCTAGACACATAGTACCGCTAATTAACTTCTATTCAAGTCTAGTGACATTTTTAAAGTCAATAATCTACCGCAAAGGCCAGAGGCATATTATGTTGAGACTAATAAAATCCTCTCACAAAATGCAGGTATTTCCTTGGTAAAGAGTACCTACTTCAATCTCTCTCTTTCTCTCTCACTGTCTCCTTGTCTGTCTCTCTCTGCCTCTCTGTCTCTCTCTATACATAGATATAGATATAGAGATACAGATTTATCTTGTAATAACAACTTACTTCAGAAGGAAGAAACTATTTTTTTAGTTTAGTCTGTAGCAGAGTACAAATCGATATCAATATTAAGGTGACACAGAACATGAGAACAGAAACAGAATCTAGCCTTGCATGAATATCTATGGGGAAATTTTTGAAAGTTATTTCTGCTCAGATCGAATAAAAAGGTCATTAAATAGTTTAATTATAAATATGAAAATCTTATAGATATGAAATGAAAATTTTCCTGGATTGTGATAAGATTGCTAATAATCTACGCATCTGTGTGTATCTATTGATTTTCACATTTAAAATTAGGAGATTACATTTAAAGACTATTTTAAGGACTCAGTGATAACAAAACAGACTACAACCTAAATCTTCTCACTCAAAAGCTTATTTTGGAAAGTTGAAGAGCTACTCTCTACTTTCTCTTGCATTCACAGTAAAAACAGAAAACAAAACAACACAACACAAAAAACAAATCACCAACAGAAAATATCAGGAAGTATGTTGGCTTGAAAACTGTCTTTACAATGGTATTGTTTTCAAATCCACTGATTATCACTACTCAAAGTAAAAGCTTTTGTTACACAATGGTCTGCAATAAAAAGGAAAAAAGGAAGACAGAGAGAGAGAGAGAGAGAGAAAGAGAGAGGGATGAACAGAAAGAATAGAAAGCTACTTATCAGATAAGGAAAGATCAGCTCCCTTGAAGGCTTATTCATTCACAGCCTTCACTTTCTGTCATATCTACATCTTTTGCACTAGCAGTGAATTCTGTCAAGTGACATGTACGTATAATAAAAGCAATGAAATCACACAGTGTATACAAATACACTAACATTCCAACAATTATACCCAGACTTTCTCTTAGAAAAAGTGTTTCTCTAAATAATATGCTTCCAAGATTTTTAATTAGTCACAAATTAAGGATTTTTTTTAAATTTCTAAAACTCACAATTATAATTTTCTCTTCAGAGCTTTGAAAGAAAACCATCTGGATCACGAGATAGTTTACTGAGATTAATTTCTGCATCTAGCACTGATTTAGGGACACCATTTAAATAAATTCCAAACCAAATTCTTCTACTAATGTGCCTCAAGAATTTTCTCTTTCAATAAAAAGGGTAATAGGACCAACAGATTAATTCAAATGAAACATGCATGTGCTATGTGATTAATGTTCAAACAATTCACACCTAATAAGGATTAGCAAATAACTGTACTATGCCTATGATGACAATCCAATTATCACTCTAAATGAGTTTTACCAAAATTCATCAAAATGTCTTTAATATATCAAAAGGATCAGGATACTCAGTTGAATAGCCTAGCAATACTGATTGAAATAACAGATAAGGCTGAATCAAGGTACATCCGTATTTTGAAGAAAAGTGCACACTAACAACCATTACTTTACAGCTATGGTATATTAGCTATGCATTTTTAAGCAGTCAGATCTGTTTCTAATTATTTCATTTATTTTCATTAACTACAGGAATTTGTACAATTATTTTCATTAACTACAGAACTTTGTACAATGATTTTAACTCTTCGCAGCAAAGCTTTTCCAATTTCAATTTGGTAGGCTGCCTATACTGTACATTATAAATTGTGGAAACTTTGTTTTCTATTTCAGTGTTACAAACTTCATAGAACAGGCTGTTGGAATTATAATCACTAATGACCACTTTTATACATGAAGTGTGAATGAAAACTCTTCAGTCATCGCTTAATTCAAATTCTATTCAAAATATTCAAAAGCTCGTATCTGCAGAACCAGATGGCAGGTTAAAACACATGCAATTTGGGGCTGATTTAATATAACAATCAACAAAACTCCCACTTTATTTTATTCTACTTTTACTTTAAAGAAAATCAAAAGAAGAGCAAATCATTGTGTACTGCTTTCTCATCTTGTTTCCTAGAGGTGGGCTGAGAGGTAAGATAGTGGAGTATGACATTTCCACAGCATTTCTGATGCTGACAAGAGCTCTTGAAGAAATCAATAGGCTGGGCAACACAAAGGCTCTATGAATATTCAGTGGTATCTCACTATATCTCAAAGAAAATGTTCTTTTCAACCACCACACAAAATCAATTGGCTTAAATTAATATGTGTGTACACATGTATATATACACATATAGTGGAATTTTTTATAACCCATTCATCAATTTATTATATTCTAATTAATAGGGCTTTACAATTAAAACCTTGAATGTATAGCAAATTACTCTACATTTTTTAATCAGAATTGTTATGCTTGTTGTATTTTACCTAAAATATTTCCATTAAAAAATACTGGTACTTTAAAAAACTTGGATTGGTTCAAGAAGCCAGATGGAAACTGGGACTAAAATAGTTACGAAATGAGCAGAAACTGACTAAATGGGTTACCTTAGGTACATTTCAATATTACAAGCCGGACTCAGTAATAGGTAAATAAATACATATCCTGACAGGGAGGAAAAGTTACTTAACAAGAAATAAAGTACCACCTGGAATACCACTTGAAGAGTGAGGCTTGAGAATTTGAAGTTTGAGATTAGCCTGAAAAGGATAGAGAAGTCTGTCATCAAAAGAAGTGTGTGTGTGTGTGTGTGTGTGTGTACTGATATACACCTATTATATATGTATATAAATGCATGCAGATATCTATACATCTATGTATATATCTATATTTGTATATTTATCTATACATACATCCATATATGCATATATATCCACACACAGCTTATTGTGCTTATATTCAATTAACACTTGCTAATGTGAATGTATTAGAGAGTAAATTACAGGGAATATTTCCTTCTTCTAAAGAAAATATATGCAAAAGTATAATACACACACACATACACACACACACACACACACATCTGTGGTCAGTATTTGATACATTCTGAATAGTTACAAGATATATGCTTTTGAGCATTGCTTTATTTCAGTGGCTCTTCCACAGAAAATAAGTTTTTTGTTAAAGCACTGCTTTTATGAAGATTGTAATAATTTCAAAATGAAAAAAACAGACAGGA